AGCAACAATAAGGCCTGTTGCGCATGGTCTCAGAAGCAGGTGGAAATTCTTGGGTTGCTTTGCAAAGCGCAGAAAATCACAGACGCGCTCTGTCGATGCTGTCTGGATGCGACCGTCTTCGAAACACAGCGGCGTGTCCATGCATGTTGCGGCCGGCGTTGGCGGTGGTATAGCAGCGGGCGGGGCCATCGAATCCGGTGCCGCTGGGCGGACTTGATGATCCACCACCACCCTCCGCAGCTTTTCGGTAACTTCACGCCACGCCGAAGGGTTTTTCTCCTTTGCCCTGCGGAGCTTGGCGACGAGTGCCAGCAGCCCGGATCCTCGCCCGCTTGGGTCGTCGCGAGAGGCAGCCATGCGAGCGTGAGCGCGCTGCATTAGCCTGCGTGGGCCCCCGCCGGTGGAAGATACTTGGATTGGAACTCTTCTCATCCCCGGGAGGACGAGTCCAAACAAGTTATCAATTATCAGGACGTGCCAGTCGTCCACCACACGCAGGTGCCAAATGGGAGAGAGAGGTTTGTTTTTGTCAAATGGGTCAACGACGAAACACAAAACAAAACTCGCTCTGTTATGTCCCACCATGCAGCAGAGCGCATCTCTCTCTCTCTACTCTCTATTGTGCGAGGCGTGAACCGCGCCATTCGCTCTCACCTGGCAACCCTGTCTGCACGGTCTCGCGCGCGTGCGTGAACAGGGCAGGCCCCAAATGATGTGTGAGTGTTAGAGTTGTTGGTATTGCTAAAAAATTCTCTCTCAACGACGTCGAGAACAAGCAAGCGGCAGACGTCCTCTTATCCTCGGCCCCAGTGGGGGGCGCCCACGCCGCCTAGCTCTGCGGGCGGGCCCCTCCACCCTTCACGTACGGATCATGTGAGAGAGATTTTTATTAACCAACAAGAAATCACGACTCTCACAGTGATTTGGGCTCGGCAGCTTGTCAGCCCTCAGCCGAAGCTGGGGCCGGTCCCGTAGCCGAGAGAGCCCGCGCCGTGAGTTCGACGCGGTCGGGAGGCCTTGCGGAGAGGCCAGCGAGATGGCGATCGCTGTACTTCATGGTGCCCTCGGTGGGGCGGCTGACAAGCCAGAGGTCGATACTCTGGACGACCCATAGGATGCCACGAATGCCTGAAGGAGAGGGAGGCGAGGCCAGAGGCAGGCTCAGCTGCTCTCGGGTGATCCCGCTTTGGAGGCTGAAGGACCCGATGGTCCTGTCACATTCGCGTTCCGAGTCGTGGGGGTAGAAGAATTCGAGTAGAAATCGAGTCAGCACTTCCTTGTAGTACAGCGGACCGCCAGGCTCGCCGGCAGCATCCGCAGGGAGGCAGCATATGAGGCACCAGTTTTCTGGAGAGCTCAGCAGCTGCGGCCGCGGTGGCGGAGTCGGCCGCGGTCGGTTCTTTCTTGATCATGTAGTCCCCACAATCGCTGTCGTGGGATGTAGTGCTTTGGAGCACTTAAGATTTCTCAATTCTCTTTTCGCCGCGAGACGCTCTTTTACAAATTCTACGCACTGCTGGGCACGGGATGGCGCTGCGTTTTCTTTCTTTCTCTTCTGGGCACGGGTGGCGCGCACTGGCACTAACACTGGTACATCACCCTTTCTACGGCACGACGCCGTGCGGTACTGTTGGGCCCCACATGCCTGCGCCCAGCGAGGCTTCTTCCTCGCTCAAGTGGATCCACTGCAAGTTCTCCATGCAGCTCAGCCCCGCCCACCTCGCCGACGTGCGAGCTGGCATCGGCGAGCAGCTCGGGAACTCGATGCTCCGGCGCGAGACGCTCTGCGGCTCTCCCTGCCGGCCACCCCTGACCGGCGCGGGTGCTGGCTGCAGGTACAACACGTCCCTGGGCGGGGTGGCGCTGATGTTTGACCGGCTGGCCATCAAGAGCGACCTCGCCGTCATCTCCTCCGATGCGCCCGTTGTGTTTGTGCCCATCGAGGCGCCGGCTCCAATGCCTCTGCCACCCTGTGGCCACTCCTTCTCTCCTTCTCTCAAATCCGAGACGGGTGGCCCTCGGGTGGCAGGTGCGGCTGCTCGTCTTTGCGCCCGAGATCGGCCAGCGGATGGAGGCGACCGTCCTCCGCCACGGCGCGCGCAGCTAGATGGCAAGAGATGGCAAGCGACACCCGAGTGCCGGCCATGGCCAAATCACCTTGGACACCACACATCAGCTGCCCGAGTGCCGGCAATGGCCACGCCGCCTTGGACACCGCCGGCCATGGCCAGATCACCTTAAACACCGCGCGTCGGCTGCCCGGCTGTGTGGCGGAAGAGGGGCGGGTACCCTGCAGCGCGTCGCGCTCTGTCGCACCCGCGCGGCGCGGCGCTAGAGAGACGGGGAGCTATGAAGAGATATGGGGAGATATGGGGAGAGATGCACGCCCGCCAGGGGAGGACCAGAAGATGACGAGTCAGAGGCGGCGCTGGGGGGACCCGCGCCGCCGGCTGATGACTCTGAGGCATTTGTCTGATGGCAGCCACGCGCGCGTGTGGGGCGGTGGCAGTGCGTCGGCGGCGGGCTCAGCGCGCCTCTGTGCTGTGCGTTCTGGGGCCCGGGGTCGTGTTTTTGCCTGAGTGCCATGCCGCCAGCTCCCGCCTGTCTGGGCGTTGAGGAGCGAGGGCTTGCCTGGCCCTCGCGACCCCGCGTTGTGTGCCTGGAGACGTGTTCCCGCCGCCCGGTCTGTGTGGGCACGTGTACCTAGCCTTCCCCTCCCCGCTCTCGCGCAGGCTCTGACCACCTCGCGCTGCTCGCCCACGGACTCGTCAATGTGACTATACCGCACCGCACCGCCGCAGCAGACGCTGCGGCGGGCGACGCCCCGGCAGGCGGCAGCGGGGAGGACGGCGGCGGCGGCGGCGGCGGCGGCGGCGGCGGCGGCGGCGGCGGGGGCGGGGGCGGGGGCGGATCGAACGGGTTCGCGGATGGCGCAATGCCCGCCGTGGGTGAGAGCGTTCCCTTTGATGTCCGAGCGTTGCACGTCAGCGACGGTCTGCTCACAGTTCTGGGTGAGCTGTCGTGATGGCCGCTCGCCGCTGGCGAACCAAACTATTTTTCATGTGCGTGCACGCGTGTCTACCTGTGGTTTGAAGCGGGGTGAACTTCTACACCTCACTGTGGTCCATAAGCATAGAACGCCTGGGAGACCGGGGTCGGCGCGCGCGCCGCGGCGGCGCGCGCCCACATCTCCCCTCGCTCGCACGGACAACGCGTGTGGCGCGTGTCCGGCCACCCACTCTATAGGCCACCCACGGGGCGGGGCGATCTTTTTGGTAAGAAAATTTGTACGCTGCGTACGTGCTATAGGTACTGTAAGGAAAGGTGAACTTCTCCACACACACGAGGTATGTAGAATGTACAACGGACGGATCATGTAGTCCCCGCAGGGAGGGTGTAGAGGATGTAGAGTGTAGACGAGCGCTGTAGAGCTGTAGAGCACGTAGAGCGCTGTAGAGCTGTAGAGCTCTACATCCGCCGCGTGACGAAGCGCCTGCGTTGTAGAGCGATGTAGAGGCGCTCTACAACGTGAAATCTCTACAACAAACTCTACATCATAAGCGGCGAACGAGGCACAGTCGCTCTCCGACATGAGGCGCGTTGCACTTGCCAGTGCTGCCCTGGCCTTCTGTCTGCCCGCCCAATGGGTGACAGGTGCCTCTGCTGCTGTGGCATGCCTCACGGCTGCGACTGGCCGGCGCCTCGGCGCGTCAGCTCGGCTCGGCGTAGCGATCGTGGCCAGCGCAACTCGCTTGGACTCAACGCTCAGCCAGGAGCTCCCGCACGCGCTGGCGCGAGTCATGGCGCATGCAACGCTCAACAATGATCGCCTCGCCTCGCGCAAATGCGACCGTCCTCGCAGCCGACAGTCCACCGCCTGCTAAAGAAGCACAGCGACGAATGCGGCACCGGCGACGCATGGCAGCCTGGTCATGACGCAGTTACAGGGTGTTGTGTGCCGTCAAGAGTGACTCTCTGTGTGTGTCAGTGATAGTCAGGGCGGCCGTCCATCAGAGCTCCAGTAAGCTCGGAGACACCCCATTAGCGCGGCTCGACCTCTTTGAGTCACTGCCTTCCCGGCGGTTTGGCTGTAGAGCCTCTACATTACTACAACAAACTCTACACAGCAAAATCGCGCTCTACATACATCGCTCTACAACGGAGGCGCTTCGTCCCGGATGTAGTCTAGAGCTCTATCTACAGCTCTCAGCGCTCCAGAGCGCTCTACAGCTCTATACAGCTCACAGCGCTCTACAGTGGGTTGCGGGCATTAAGAAAACAGGATTCCGCGGCACGCCGCCGTTTCTAATTTTTTTTCCACAGCCCTCACCCACCCGACGCCGTGGTTTCTTAGCTCCGGCCGGCACTCAAGCCAAACAACTCTACACTCACACCTAGAGAGCCAGAGCCGGCCCGAAGGATTTTTAGGTAAGTAAGAGGTAAGCTGCGGTCCGCGAGGGCGATGCCAGAGTCTGCCGCCGAGTCGGCTCTCTGGATGACGGGAGACGCACACACGCCTCCATCCACTCGCACTCCACTCAGAGCACCGCAGACTTGGATAGTGACAAGTGCGCGCGCCGCAGGCGAAGAGAAATTTTGGGCTGAGGCTCCCGTTTTCACACTCGTGTCTGGCCTTTTCTCGGGGCCGCGCCTGCGGCGCGCCGTGGTTTCTTAGATTTTCGCGGAAATCGCTCGGCGTGGTTTCTTCATGCCACGTTTTCTTAATGCCCGCAACCCACTGTACACTCTACATCCTCTATCTCTACACCCTTCCCTCCCTCAGACAGAGTCGCTGTCGTGGGATCGCTTGTCATGTGAGAGAGTGCGTTGTGGTGTCGTGCGAGGGAGGTTTGTTGTAAAATTCTTGCACTTGGAGCAGGCAGTAGCCGCCCCGCGCGTCCGTCAATTCTCTTACCACCCAAGACAGCTTGGAGACCTCCCGGTAACGCTACATTTCGTAACGAAGGTCGCTATTGGCCACCTGCCTCCTTCATCTACAAATGTCGTCGGCACGGACGGAGCGGCGCCAAGCATTGAACGCTGTGCGTGCTGCCGGCGGCACTCCCAGGCCCCGAGCCAGAGCCCCGACCGTCTCTGGCGTTCCATGCGACTGGGACTACCTGCGAGGCGTGTGGGTTCGGCCGGATGGCGACGACTACGATGCGAGAGTGGCAAAGGCAGAGAGGGCGGAGGAGCTGCGGTGGCGGGCGATGCAGAGTGACGGTCGCCGTACACATAGCCCTCGCACGACTTCCACGCCGTCGGCTCGAAGAGCACGGCCTCGGTAAACCGAGCAGGCTCATTGAGCGTGGCGCCCGCATTGCTGGCTCTCATTGAGCAGCAGTTCAGATGCGGGCGCATCCCGTCACAGCATTCGCCCAGACCCGGTACGCACATGCTCAGCCCGTCCCTCGCTCACTGGCAGGCGACCCACACCTCGCGTGGGCACACGAAAATGGCCTCGTGGGTCGAGAGCGTATCAATCGGTCAGATGAGGCTGGAGACTTCACCGGGCTGACTCGGCCGACTCGGAATCTCTTCCAGACCGCGAGGGCGTACCGTGAATGGGCTCGTGAGCTGTCCGAGACGGATGCCACATGGGAGGCCTTTCAGAGGATGCGGCTGGCGAGGCGGCTCGCTCGCCACCGTGCGTTGCACGCTGGGCAGCGCGACCACCACGTCGAGGGCGCAGGCCGGCTGCTGCCGTGCGAGACGACGGCGTTGGATTCGTCGCGCGTGCAGCCAGCCATGCGTGAAAGCCTGCCATTGCTGGATCGGATGCCGGCCCTCGCACGCCGCACGCCGCTGACACCGACGCTCGCGGTCTTTGAGACGTTTACAATGGAGAAGGAGCCGCGCCAGTACCGCGACTCCTCCTCAGGCCAGATGAGGACGCGTGAGTATAACGTGCGCTCGTGGGCAGCCGCTCCCACCACCGTCGGTGCGGCTCGCGTCCCACGATGCCCGTCGGAGGCTGAGGGTGTGCAGTACCGCCGGCTGTGCCTGCAGAACGCCACGTGCTTCAACAACCTAGAGGCCGCGCATCCGATCAACTTTTTCGAGCAGCGCGATGTGTGCATGAACTGCGGCGCGGAACGCTTCACCGTCACGAACCCGTCGATTTGCTGCCAGAATGGCAGCCTAGTGCTCGACCGGCAGCTGCCCAACGAGCTGCTCTCGCTCATCAGCGAGGCGCCAGGGTTTTCGAAGCAATCGCGCGCAGGGAACGACCTCTTAGACGAGAAGAGAGCGATTTCTTTGTTTGGTCTTTTATACTACATCGGTTGATATGTTTCCTTAGCATCTCGCAGTGAATACACATGTACCTGTGACCTTCTTATGTGACCTTCTTACGCATCTCCCAAATTGATTTATTTTATTCTTGGAATGTAACGATCTTGGGCTGGCACAACTCTTATTGGTCCGTCCGGCGCGCGTTCCTCTCTGCTCAGGGTTCTGACTTCAATCGCCCAATGCCATCAAAGGCCCCACGTGCCAGTGCCAAGCCGCGTCGGCGGCCCGCCGTCGAGTCCGATGGGGAGGATGGCGCTGTTGTGATCGGTGTCGTGAGCCCGGGCCCCGTGCCTCCACCCTCGAGCGAGAAGAAGAAGGGCAAGGCGAAGAAGACGCTGGCCGACTTCGATGGCTTCAGCGACCTGCCGTCGTCCGCGACCACCGTCACTGGCGGCACGGGCAAGAAGAAGGGCAAGCCGATCGAGGCGAGGCTCCACCTGGCCGTCCACCAGAAGAACGATAAGAACAAGGGCAAGCTCACCGGCCGCGTCTTCTACCTCATCAACCCGGTGTATGACGAGAACGAGGCGTACCAGCGGCTCATGTACAAGATGTTCAACCAGAACCCGCGCTACTTCAAGGACCTCGGCCTGTGGGCGGTCCGCGCGCCGAGCAAGCAACTGGCGAAGAAGATGCACGCCGCCGTCCTCGCCGCCCCTGGTCTCCGCGAGACGGCGAAGCGGCTCAACCCCGAGCTCGACGTCTCGCCCATGGACAACCCAGCCGTCATGCCACTCGAGTTCACGCTCGCCAAGTCGGCCACGCAGTTTGAGACGAAAAAGAAGGGCCTGCTCCCGCCCTCGCACGTCATGATGGGCAAGAACACCTACGACGTCAAGGACTACGTCAAGACCCACTTCGACAACGTCGAGTACGCGGACCTCCTCTTCCCCGGCCCGCACGGCCCGAAGAGCATCACCAAGACAGCCTGGGTGGTTCCCATCGCCTCCCAAACCGCCTCGACTGGCACCCTCGCCGACTTCCTCCGCACGCTCGGCGCGACGGTCACCGAGGTGGATCTCGACGCGGAGGACGGAGACAGCGACGAGGAGGACGAGCGGGACGGCAACGCGCTCGTCGACGACGAGGCTGAGGAGGAGGACGAGGAGGAGTAGGATTCGGCGTGGCGCGTCTACTTCCTGCGAGACGAGAGCGGTCGGAGGACTTACGTCGGCGCGAGCCCCGACCCCGTCCGACGACTGCGCCAGCACAACGGCGAGCTCTCGGGAGGTGGCGCGCCCGCCGCGGGACGGCCGTGGCGCATTCTGCTCGTTGTGCGTGGCTTCTCCTCGAAGAGGGATGCGCTCGCTTTCGAGTGGGCGTGGCAGAAGCCGCACACGAGCCGGCACATTGCGCGACAGTGGGGTGTGAAGGGATTCGGGAAGTGCGGCACGCGGTCAAAAGTGTCGGTGCGGTTGGCGGCGCTCGCGCTGTTGCTCGTGCACGGCCATTGGGCCGCGTGCGCGCTGCATGTCCGTGTGTGTGCTCCCGAGGAGTGTGGAGAGGCATTGCCTCTCATCCGGCGCGCCGCCGCGGGACTCACGTGCGGACCGCCGTGAAGCGAGTTCTTTGACTAATATCACATGTTGGGAGACTGATGGGTCAAAAGCATAGATCGTCAATCGACGCGTCGCGCCGTTGCCGATCCGCACACCGAGGTTCTTGGGTGGCGCGCCCCAGCTCTTCACAACGAACCTGGTTCTCGTGCACCCTCTGTGCATGCCCCAGCATCGCCGGGAGTCGTGCACCCTCTGTGCACTAAGATGGCGGATTCCTCCATCCCACTAGTCCCAGTGACAGTCCTGACAGGCTTCTTGGGAAGCGGCAAGACCACCCTGCTCAACCACATCCTGACCGCAACGCACGGGAAGAAGATTGCCGTCATCGAGAATGAGTTTGGCGAAGTCGGCGTGGATGATGAGCTGCTGTCGAAGAACACCAAGATGCAGGCCGACGAGGACATTATTGAGATGATGAACGGCTGCATCTGCTGCACGGTCCGGCAGGACCTGATCGTCGTGCTCGAGAAGCTCGCCAAGCGTGTCAAGGCGACTCTCTCTCTTGGCCTCACCGCCACCTCTCTCCTCTCTTGCCGCCTCTCACACCATCACGCAACACGGGGTACCAGGGAAGCCTCTCACTACCCAAGCCGCCACTCCAGGCCGGCACGCTCAAGCTCGACGGCATCATCATTGAGACGTGCGCCGGCAAAGGCCGCGACCGAGTGCCACGCGGCGTCCACGACATCTCAGCGGCACGTCCGTAGGACCGGCATGGCGGACCCGGCGCCTGTTGCACAGACCTTCTTCGTCGACGATAAGGCGCGCCGCGTGTGCGCAGCCGCGTCGCGCTCGCCACCGGAGCTCTCGAGGCTCACGGGCCGCGTCGCCGCGCAGGTCAAGGCGTTCGCCAGGCTGGACGGGATCGTGACGCTGGTGGACGCAAAGCACATCGAGCAGCACCTCGACGAGGAGAAGCCCGAGGGCGCCGAGAACGAGGCGGTGGAGCAGGTCGCCTTCGCGGACCGCATCCTGCTCAACAAGACCGACCTCGTGAGCGAGGCGGACCTCGAGCGGGCGCGGCGACGCGGCGCGGCGGCCGACCGCTCGCGCGGACGCGCGGCTGACGCGTCCCCCGACTCGCGGTCGGGCAGGTGGAGAAGCGGCTCAAGTCGATCAACTCGCAGGCGCCCGTCCAGCGCTGCACCAAGGCGGAGGTGTCGCCCGACTGGGTCCTCGACATCGGCGCTTTCGACCTGAAGCGCGTCATCGAGATGGACCCCGAGTTCCTCAACACGAACGGCGAGCACGAGCACGACACTTCGGTGAGCAGCGTCGCGCTCACGGAGGAGAGCACGCCGCTCGACCTTGCCGCCATCGAGGACTGGATCGGCGGGATGCTCAAGACCCAAGGCGCCGACATCTACCGGATGAAGGGCGTGCTGCACATCGCACACGCGGAGCAGCGCTTCGTCTACCACGCGGTGCACATGATTTTCAACGGGGACTTCACCGAGCCGTGGGAGGAGGACGAGCCGCGCGAGAGCAAGCTCGTCTTCATCGGCAAGAACCTCGACGCCGCCGAGCTCAAGGCGCGCTTCGAGGCGTGCCTCGCGACGCCGGCCAACCTGGAGAAGAAGCTGCAGGCGCTCCGCTTCCAGGTGGGCGACCGGGTGATGTGCCACCTGGCGGGCGACCCAGACGCCGACGCAAACGGCTACGTCAAGGGCACGATCACCCAGCTCATGTGGCGATCGGATGACATGGACCCCGGTGGCCGTGCCCGCGACGCTGCCCGCCGGCCGCTAGCACGCTACAGCCCGCGAGCGCCCGCCGGAGCGCCGCCCTCGCCTCACCTCGCCTCCCGCTCCCCTGCCAGGCATGGTTGCGCCCTACCAGGTCTGCGCCCGCCACCCTCCCCGTCCGCCTCCTGAGCCGACGCCGCAGCGCCGACCAGCGCCGACCCGCCCCTCCTCAGATCACCATGGACAGCGGCGACATCATCTCCGCGCCTGCCGACTCGGACGACCTCGTCAAGAGGGCGCCGGAAGAGGGCGACGCGGCTGCGAAGAGGCAGCGCCAGCAGCCCGCCTAGGTAGCCGCTCCGGTCGTCGCGGCCCGCGCGCACGCACCTTCGAGGTGAGGTGCGGGGAGGCGCACGGGCATTGCGACGTGCGCCCGGCGAGGGCCCAATCTCTCACAATATTGCTGCTCGCCTGTCGAGCTTGTGCCCAGCTTCGAATCAAAAAACGACGGTTCCCCTCATTTCAGAGTGTGTATGCTATAATAGACTATAATAGTGCTTTTCGTGAGCTGCTGACGCCCTCCCCGCTGTGTATACGTAGCGTGTACGCGCACTCCGCACACCGCGCACTAAAGCCGTAGCCACTACGCAATAAAGTATAAACCAACGCGGTGTTCGGTGTGCGCCGCGCTCCGCTCACTCCTTTCGCCTCAAGAAGGCGGCCATGCTCTCCTGATAGGCTGGGGACGAGAACATGTCGACCATCGTGTCGGTGGCGACAGCGTACCGGTCACGAAGGGCGGGCGCGGCTGCCTGGCGGTAAAAGGTCCGCTTGCCGTCCGCGACCGACTTGCTGAAGGTGCGCGCCAGCTGGTTGACCGTCTGCTCGACGGCGCTCGCCCACTCCGCCGAAGGGACCACCGAGTTGGCGAGGCCGATGCGTTCGGCCTCGACTGCGTCGACGTCGGACGCGAGCAGCGCGAGCTCGAGCGCCTTGCGCGGCGCGACGCGCGCGCCGACCGCCACCGCGGGCGTGTGGCAGAAGCCGCCCGTGCGCACGCCGGGCAGGCAGAAGCGCGCGTCGTCGCGCGCGATCACGAGGTCACACGAGGCCGCCAGCTGCGCGCCGCCCGCCACGCACGCGCCGCTCACCGCCGCCACGCTCACCTGCGGCACCTCGGCCAGCAGCGCGTTGACGTCGGCGCACATCTCGAGCACGCGCCGCTGCTCGGCGGCCGGCGCCTCGTGGAAGTCGTTGAAGTCGTGGCCCGAGCTGAAGACCGGGCCTGTGCTCTCGAGGAGGAGGGTGCGCACCTCTGGCAGCGGCCCGCCGTGCGTCACCTCCATGGCAGCGCACGCGCCCAGAAAGCTCTGGAGCTTGGCGAGGAGAGCCGCAGTCAGCGGGTTGCGCCGCCTGGCATCGACGAGTCGCAGGCTCGCGACGCCGAGCCACGAGACGCATATGCAGAGGCCCGGCGTCGCGCTGTCGACCGACCTCACCGCGATGCCCTGCGCCTCGGAGTGCTTGGGCAGATAGCGGTCGCTCACATACGAGCACGAGGGCAGGACACGGAGCGACGCGCCGCGAGCGTGCTCAAAGGCCGCATCGCACAGCTTCTCGGCCACGCCCTGCCCGCGCATCTCGGGCGGCGTGCGCGTGTGCTGGATGTCGAGGACTCCTGCCTCCTCGTCGACCGCATACTCGAGGACGGCCGTGTCCATGGAGATGGCGCCGGGCTCGTGCCGCGTGTGGAGGCGGCGCGCCACCAGTAGTCGCCGTGCACTGCCGAGGGACCGACGCATATCAGGCGGACACCAAGCAGGATACAAAAGAATTCTTCCGTGATAACGACAGCAACTCCCTCTCACAGCAGAGAGGCTCGACACAGGTGCGGACTGGCGCGTGCTAGCACTATCACAGGCAAACCAGGGTACAAAAGAATTCTTCGAGCAAAAAGAGAAAGAAAGAAGAACCTGGTTGCCTGCTTTTCTTTCTTTCTTGAAACATACAAAAGAATTTGGAAGACTGCGGCGAGGCCCGGCTGATCAAGCACTACTCGCGCTCCGGCGCGTGGGTCGAGCGAGATCACGCCCGGCAGCCCTAGCCAGGCCCCGCGCGCTCGCGACCGCGACCGCGGCTCTCACTCGAGCCCGAACGAACTGCCCGTCAGACATGTGTCATGTCGGAATCGTCGGAGAATAGCGACTAGCACATCTCGTCAAGAGTCCCAGAAACCCGAGGAAGGAGTCACACAGTCCCTGTGTGTGTGATGCACGCCCTGCCAGCCCCCTGCGAGCGGGGCGGGGTGCGCACTGTGCCTCTGTGTTCGTGCGTCGGCCGTCGCCCATCTCTCCTGGAGATGCCTGCTCTATTTATAAAAGAAGAAGCTTCCTTTAAGTCCTCTCTCGTCCTTTTGAACTTCCGGTGGTGTCTGCGCCGGTCGGTGCCGCCATCCATCGACGCGGAAAGCACAAGACGCGGTGCCGAAAGACGCGGAAAGCCCAGGGCCAGGCCCAGCTTCGGCAGACGGGCTGAAGAGTGCTGACAAGCTGCTGCTGCCGAGTCCAAATCGCTGAGACTGTGCGAGTCGCGATTTCTTGTTGGTTTTCAAATACCTACAAAACAAATGATCCAAATCTCTCTCTCTCTTCTCTCTCCTCTCTCTCTCTCTCTCTCTCTCTCTCTCTCTCTCTCTCTCTCTCTCTCTCTCTCTCTCTCTCTCTCTCTCTCTCTCTCTCTCTCTCTCTCTGCTCGACCCAAACAAAAATCTCAGATAGAGAGAGCGACAAAACGTAAAAAAGAAAAGACGCTCATTCGAGGGACCGAGAAGGAAATCAGACGAGTCCTCAAGGTTGGCCTCAAGGTTGGCAGCACTACACACAATGGAGGCCGCCACATTCGTCGGAGTCGGAGAGATTTACGAATATCCTCCCCACATCGCACTGGATGGGCCGTACTCGGAGCCGCACTCGGACGTCGTCGAGCTTGAGCTCGAGTTGCGAGCGTGGCATGTGCTAGCTGCCGTCGATGCCCTGCTCCTCCTGTTCTCGGTCTCCGCCGCCCTTCTCGCGGCGAGTTGGAGGCCGGGCCGCAAGGTCATGAGCATCGCTGCAACTCAGGACGCTGCGCGACACAGCTTCGCTCCCGGCGGTGGCCCGGACGAGGAGGGCGGCGACGATAGCGGCTGGAAGTTGGTGTCATCCGCGGGGGTGGGGACCAAATACGGCCTGCAAGTGTACACTCGAGGTCGATGCGCGCAAGGGCGATGTGGCGGCTGCGAGTGCAGGATCGAGGCCACCGCCCCTCACGGGGTCGCTGAGATGGCTTGCATCTTTGGTGAGGTGGACCTGTTGCCGACCTGGCACCCTCTGGTCCCGCGCTCTGCCTTCCTCGCGCTCGACGCGGAGGCGTGTGCCTTCACTGGCGTGCTCGAGGCTGCCCTGCCTTGGCCCCTGCCACGGATTGGTGCCGTCTTGGACCTCCAAGCTGACATCGACCGCCTTGCAAACGACGGCGTCTTTCACGTCGATGCGACTACCGACACAGAGATCGAAAAGACCAGGCTGCCGCCTTGGGCGCGGAAGCTGCGTCTGGTCCCGATCGACGGGACGCTTGCGATTCGCTTCACGCCCGTGCGGGGTGGCACAAAGCTTGAGATCCGCTACGCGATCGACTTTGCTGCTCTGCCACCGTTGCCCTTTGCGCCAAAGCGCGCCATCGACTGGCTCTTCTTCATTGCGGGCCCGCTGGTGTGCTCTGCCACGGTGCCTGCGGCGCCGCTGCGCGCAGCCCACGCTCAACCAGCTACAACCCCGCTGCCCTACAGGTTTGGGGCACAATCACTCGCATGCTCAGCAAGCAGCTGTCGGCGAAGAGCAGGATCGGCGCGAGGTGCGCGTTGTGTGTGTGTGTGTGTGTGTGTGCGCGTTGTGTGTGTGTGTGTGTGTGTGTGTGTGTGTGTGTGTGTGTGTGTGTGTGTGTGTGTGTGTGTGTGTGTGTGTGTGTGTGTGGTGTGGAGTGCGCGCACACACTCCTTCCCACGCTACTGAGCCGGCCCCGTATCGCATCTGCAGGCTTGCCAACGACTCGCTCGGGATGTGGAGCCGGATACGAGCTGGCGTGGGACAGGAGGCGCCGCACTGGATCGCGGCCGCGCGTGAGGACCCGAAATGCGAGGATACGGAGAGGGTGGTGTACGAGGGCGTAGCGTAGGAGCCGGGCTGAAAAGGAGAAAAAAGCAGGTGGCGCCTTACCCTTAGTAGGGGGGGATATGGTCCACTAAAACATTGATTTTCCAAGCCCCAAACCCAAACTGAATCTCGACCACTCGAGGCGTTTGAGAGGCGTTTTCGTTCGGCGTCTAGGATGACGGTGACAACCGGTAGATCGCTCCTCGAGGCATGGAAGCTATGGATGTTTGCACTGCTTGGGGGCCTCAGGGCCCTGACTGCTTGGCCCTGGCGATGGAGCTGCAGCCGGACGCCGCCGCCGCGGAGGCGGCCATCGAGTCGCCCGGGTGGCGCGGGGTACCCCGAGTCGGCCATGGCAGCTTGGCCTGAACATGTCCAGAGATGGTGGATAGGTACTTGGGCAGACCTGGGGCTCGGACGCGGCGCTCCCCGGGGCCGCCCGGGCGCTCGTCGCTTCCCTCGGCGATGCTCTTCCTGGCCGACCCGGTGCGCGCGGCCACAGATCACGTTCTCTCACGTAATGGCCCTCGGCGCGCTGACGCTCGCTCGCGCGCCTACGCAGGAGAAAAACTTCTGCCTGCCGTCACCTCCTCGGGCGAGAGGTTCCGTCGAGTCCGGCAACGACCAAGCCAGCGCCTCGGAGGTGCTCGTCTTCGCCCTCCTCGTGTTCCTCTTCGACCCCAGCCCCATTGAGACCCAGGAGCGGGCTTTTGGCGCGCGCGCGCGCACGTGCCGTGCAGAGCGGGCCAGCTGGGCGACGGCGGCGGCGCCCGCCGGCTCCGGCCGCTCCTGGGCTCCTGGCCGTCTTTTCCCAGCGGCTTCGCACGCGCCCCACCCTTCCCCCTGACAGCAGCGCCTCACGGCGTGGGCTGCGAGGTCACTCGGGGTGACCCAGGGGGCGGCGGGGGAGCACTCTCCCGCCGGAGTAGCGGGCGGTCTTCCCGCTACTCGCTCGTATTTGAGGTGCATCCGTGCCCCGCCCACCAACTTCCCGGCAGCACCACACGCTCGGTGACGCCCTCATCTTCTCCCCCCTGCACCGCCCCCCCTTCAGGCGTCACCGAGCGGGTGTTTTGCGTGCAAGAGGCTCCTTGAGGTGGCGCC